GACGGGGCCGAAGTGGGGCCTAAGCAGGGCCGTAGAGGGGCCGACGGGGCCGAAGCGGGGCCGCGACAGAGCCGTAGCGGGGCCGACGGGGCCGTAGCGGGGCCTAAGCAGGGCCGTAGCGGGGCCGACGGGGCCGAAGCGGGGCCTAAGTGGGGCCGCAGAGGGGCCGACGGGGCCGAAGCGGGGCCGCGACGGGGCCGTAGCGGGGCCGCAGCGGGGCCTAAGCTGGGCCGACGGGGCCGAAGCGAGGCCTGAGCGGGGCCACGACGGGGCCGACGGGCCCTAAGCGGGGCCGACGGGGCCGAAGTGGGGCCGTAGCGGGGCTGTAGCGGGGCTTAAGCGGGGCCGACGGGGCCGTAGCGGGGCCGACGGGGCCGTAGCGGGGCCTAAACGGGGCCGTAGTAGGGCCGACGGGGCCTAAGAGGGCGGCTCGAGGGGCAGTAAGGGCGGCCAATCGGGGCCACTAAGGCGGCTCGAGGCGCTACTCGGGTTAGGAGCTAAGCGCGCTTCGGGCAGGGAAGGAAAAAAAAGTTCGTGGTGGGCCCTAGGCAGTATTCCCACTCAGGAACCTGCTCTGATACCATGACGAGAAGTGAGAATGGAATGAATGAACTATGAAACAGTTGGGTACAAGTGCTAAACCTAATTGGGTTGTACCCCTTATGGGCTACCCCACTACAACCTACACAAATGTATAAGCTATAATGTTCTGACAGTGGCGACAGCGTTGTATATGTAACGCTCGGAGCCCACCATGTGTTGCCCCCAGCAGCTATCCAGGTACGAGTTGTTGTAGTGCCTGTTATCGTTTCGCGCGAGCAGCGCCAGACGCGGAGTGACGATGTGCGGAGTGTCAACCTTAAGAAATTGTTCGCGCGCGATCCTGTCGATCGGTGCCGGCCGCATGTCAGGTACGTGCGAAGGGCTCTCAAGCAGCGGGACTGGCAGATTCCAGTCCTGGTTGTCATCGTCGCTGTAGTCGTGACGTGTGCTGAACGGATTGTTGTTCGCAGACGCCTCGATTGGGTCGGGCGCAGGCTCAGGCGAGGGTGAGCGTGCGCGCGGTCAACGAGAGCCGCTCGTCATGGTCATGTTCCCCATGACGTTGCGGACGGGGGCGGCCTGTGATGGCTGCTGCTGCTGCTGAGATGTTGAATTCAAGTTGCGCGAGGGGCGTTGATACCCCTAGGCGGGACGCGTGTCGTTTCTTGCGTCTTGTCGGCCGGACCAGTTGCTCGGATTAGTCTGGCGAGGGCGAGATCGATGCTTGCATCGATCCGCCAAGTGCCCAAAATTTCTGCAGATTTTGCAGTAGAGGCGCCGCGGCCGTCGCTCTTCTGTGTTGTCGGCGAAGAATGCGAGGCGCTCCCGTTCTCGTCGTGGCGCTGGTCGTTGCTGGTCCATATCCCTTTGTTCGACGAGAAGGGCGGCGCAAAGGGCGGCCTCCGAGATGACCCCCTGCTGTCGGAGCAGCGCCTTAGAGGGCCGCCACTCGGGTCCGAGCCCTTGGAGCACGATATTTACGAAGATTTCTTCAGAAATCGTGCTCCCCAGTTTCGCGATTTGATCGCGTAAGCTCCGACAGCGATTCAGATAGCTGTTGGCCTTCTCTCCTGGTGCCATCTTGGCCTTCAGTAGCTGCTGGAGCAGGCGGCTCGACGACACTGAGTCCTTGGGTTGGTACACACCGTTTAGGTGGCGCCAGGCGTTGAGGGCGGGAGCTGGAGAAGTCTTGTATGAGCGAATGCTCAATTGCTCCGTCGGTGACATATTTCGCAGGAGAACTCCGTACGCCATCAGGGACTCGTTGTAGTACTTGGTTCTTGCGTCATCAGTGTCCTTCGTAGGTCCCGAGTAGCTCCCGTCAAAGTAATGATAAATCTGCGCGTTTTGCAGCAGCAGCTCCAGCTCGAAGCTCAAGGTGTAAAAGTCTCTGCCGTCAAAGCACACACTTGTCTTTATCTTTGATATGCTCAAAAACCTTGATTGCGCGTAGAGAATTGCTTCGTCGCTGGGACAGGGAGTCTTGGGTGTTGAGCCATTTGTGTCAAGGGAGAAGCCTTGCGGGGCGGAATTCTGGCCGTTTGAGGCCGGTTGAGTGGGTTGGGAAGAAATTCCCGCATCGCCATTCCGCAGTGTCTGGAGCCCTTGCTCCAAGCTTGTGAGTCGCTGAAGCAGTTGTGCGAGGACGGCGGAAGGAATCGTCGTCGTTTCCTCGTTTGTCGCAGCCAGGTTGGGCTGCGCTTCAACCGTCAGATTTGTCTGACCTCCAGATCCTCCGGCCATTCTTACACGTGATCGTGTGCCGGACGCCACTTTCCGAATGTCGCAGTTTTCGGAGATGGCAGTGCGAAGGATTCCTGAGTCGCTCTCATACCATGTTGCGATCAGAAAGGGATCCTAACCAGGATCACCATCAGGAAGGTTCGCAAGGTTCTAGTGAAGTGGTGGTGGGCCCTTGACCTCAATAGCAGAGTGAATGTAGATGCTTGAGATGATAAAAACATGCAGTACAAGGAATATAAATGAGTTCAGGGGAATTCGAAACGACCTAACTAGCCATGTAGTCTAAGGGGTACATTCCCTTATTCAAATGCATCCCAACCGTTCGGCGCGTACAGTTTCGTAACAGTTCCTGCCAAAACCATCCTGCCTGCAATTGCCAGATGCCGTCTGTCAAAATCATATTTATTATAACTGCATGAAGTTTTAGCTGTAGTGTAGTTATTAAATTTGTAGGTGGTGCACCCCTTCATGTGTTCCTTTGCTATATGTATCTCGAATCCTATAGTGAAAACTACATTCTCCAATTTTCCTCTCTCAACTCACTCGACTCTCACCCTGGGTGAAAACCCGCTCGATACCTAGTTAAGGGCCTAGGCTACTAAGCCTAGGCCCCTCACCTTTCAACTTAATCTACTTTAAGTTCGACATGTTATCGGAGCTGTTTTCGTCCTGGCCTGTGGGCCCGCGTTACTCTTCCGCTGCTGAGATTTTCCGGTCGCGCGCCTAGGGCGCGTGACGATTTTAGTTTTACTTTGTCCCGCCCACGGGCGTGTGACTCCTACCCTGCCCGTCGCGCGCCCCGTGGCACGCGACGGTGCCCTTTATCTGCCCATCGTGCGCCCCGTGGCACACGATGGTGCCCTGCTCGTCGTGTGCCCCGAGGCACACGATCGGGCCCTTTTATCCTATCCGTCGTGCGCCCCGTGGCACTGGCCCGCGACGGGCCTCTCCGCCCCTGCACTCCCTGCTGCCGCCCCCGACCCATCTGCACCGACGCCTCTTCGCCGCTCTGCGGCTTTCTTCCTTCCCACCCCCCCCTTTCTCTTGTCTCCCTGCAGTCGTGGGGAGGAGGGTATGGGGGTGGAGGGTGTTGGAGCGGTGGGTCAACTCTCTCCCTTCCCCTCCTCCTTCTTTCAGTCCCACCACTGCAGCTGCTGCTGGGGGGGGAGGGTGTGAGGATGTGGGTGAGCAGGGGGAGTGGTACCGGGGTGGCGGGTGTGAGGCAACAAGCAGCCGTCTCTCCACCTCTCCTCTCTTCCCCCTTTCTCTGCTGCTTCTGCAGCAGTGTGGGGGAGGGGAAGGAGGAGGGTGAGGAGATGGAGGGGGTAACCTTTCAAAGTTAGCCCGCCTGCAGTACCTGCTGTTGCTTGTTTTATTGCTCGTTGGCGTACCTCTGCAGGTTTTGCTCGACACTTAGCTATTCCTGCATGCAGTTACGGGGGGATGTCAAAATCATATTTATTATAACTGCATGAAGTTCTAGCTGTAGTGTAGTTATTAAATTTGTAGGTGGTGCACCCCTTCATGTGTTCCTTTGCTATATGTATCTCGAATCCTATAGTGAAAACTACATTCTCCAATTTTCCTCTCTCAACTCACTCGACTCTCACCCTGGGTGAAAACCCGCTCGATACCTAGTTAAGGGCCTAGGCTACTAAGCCTAGGCCCCTCACCTTTCAACTTATGCTCCCGACAGTCCAGATGTGCTGTAACCGTTCGACTCTTCGATTCAATTCCAACCGTCTGACGCTTCGCGTTCATTCCCGATATTGCGTGTTCCTTTGCTGTGGTGAGGAGTGTTCAGTAATATCAAATATTACTATTCGTAACACCCGGGACTCTTACAACTCGTGCCGATTAAATGTTCACCCTAGTCATTTTGCCTCTATTTTAGGAAAGTCCCCTGGGTCTTATATCCGGGAGATTACGGTAATCCACATTTCTTACGAATGTGATTACATTATGATATGTCTTCCATCCAGCCGCAGCCAATAAGCCACCCACCCCAACTCCATATGAACTACAATACCTACAGGGGGCTTTCATAGCGATGCAAGAATAAGTCTACCGTACCATCACAAGCCAAATGTGTTGTATGCCGTTACTGAGACACATCATTTCAGGAAGGACTAGAAGAGTCATCCACGGTAAGCACGTCTTTGAAATATCTTGACCACATTAGGAGCCTCGCAAAGTTTTGAATCGCGTTGCTTGCTCGCTCTCTACACCAGTGTCACCAATTTAATGCCTACTCCTATCTTCACTCACTCTTTCTTTTCACGTCTCACTTCTCATCCCCTTGCTCTCCTTTCCTCACCCCGCTTGTCCTGTCTCCTTCCTCCTCGTCCATCCCCTCGCTCCTTACTCTCTTCAATTCCACCTCTCCTCTCTTGTCTCACCCCCCGGGGCACATCCTCCCAATCATCCACCCTCACGCTCCTCTCGCCTTCATGCCGGATGCCATGCCCTTCCCTGCTGTGCCTCATGCTGTCCCTGCTCACATCTCTGATCCTCCGCCCCTCAAAGCTCTCTTCTGTCCTTGTATATTTTTCCTCCCTGCTCTCCTCCCTGCTCCTTTTTACCTCCCTGTCCTCGTCTCTGCACCTCCGCTCACTATCACGCCACTTTGTCGACTCATGCCCGCCTGCTTCCCTCCTCTCACTCCTCCCCTTCTCCCTCGCTGGACTCACAACTTCATCCCTTGAATACCCACTATGCCTTCCCCTTCTGCCTCCCTCCTCATGCTCCTCTTCATCCTTCCCTCTTCTCCCCTCTCCACCCCTCACTCTCATTCCTCCCTCTTCGTCTCTCCTCTTCCTGTCAACCCCTCGTCCTCTCTCACGGTCCTCCTCCCTCCAGCGGTACTCCTCTCTGCCATGGCCATCGTCCCCACGCCGCCTGTCCCCACTGCCTGCATCGGGCCTCCCTCGCCTCTCCTCCATTTGTCCCCGATGCTCCTCCTCCTCGCTGTCAGAAGCCCCGCCACGCCCTCTCTTCCCATCGTCCACCCTCACAGATTTGACACCTCTCCTCCCCCTCATCATTTCCTCATGCTCTCTATCCAATTCTACGTCTCTCCTTTCCCACTTCTTCCTTCCCTCCTCAGCTTCCTTCACACTCTTCTCGTCCTCCTTCCGCTGTCTTCCCTTCTCTGCATCCCTCTCCCTCCTCACACCCCCCCTCTCCTCTTCTGCCTCTCCACCACAGCTCGCTCCTCTCTCTCCCTCTCCTTCCGCATCCCACCTCCTCTTCCTCTCTCTCTTTCCATCCCTCCTCGGACTCGCACCACGTGCAGCTCCTTCCTCTCCTCCACCCCCTCGCTCCTCTCTCCCTGCAGTCACCCGAGCAGCAATCGCCCGGGCGCGAGCAAGGGCGTCGGCAGTGAGAGCAGCCACATCCACGCTGCCAGCAGCACTTTCTCTACACTTCGTTCCCTCGCCCTCCCCCCTCCTCTTCGCCACCCCTGCATGCACACTCCTCCGCCCTTCTCCCTCTGTCCTTCCACCCCCCTCCTCGTCCCCGTCAAACACAAGCTCGTAGCTGCCAGGCCAAGGTGCGAGGGACATAGAGGAGGGTGGGAGGGACAGAGGGGAGGGTGGTACAGAGGAGGAGCATTAGCGAGCATGGCCGAGCTGCTGGGAATGCTGAAGCAAATGATGCAAGGAGTAGTCAGTGCAACTGTCAACGCGTGTGTGGAGAAGGCACCCAGCTTCCACCACCTCACTGCACCTGCCCCATCCTTGCGCCTCCACCCAGCACCGCCCATCTCCACCTTGGCTTCTGCCACCCTTGCTGCCTTGTCAACGCATCAACTGCCACCTCCTTGCTGCACTGCCTCAAATCTTGCTTTGCTCGCCTCACCTAGTCTTAAATCTTGTGTTGCTCACCTCTTGCCCTGCTCGCCCCGCTGCCCGTGCCCCGACTCCTTCAGCTCAAGCCACCTCTGCCCGCCCTGCCCCCCCTCTGCCTCTTCCTCGTCCTCCTCCCCGCCCCCACCCATCCCACCTCTCCCTCCTCCCGCATTCGGACACTCCCTCGCCATGTGCCCATCCTCCCCACAGCTAAAGCACGACCGCATGCCACCGCGACCACCACCACCAACCCTCCCCCTTCCTCCTCTCCCTCCCCTCCCACCACCAGCAGCACCAGCTGCGCCAGCATCAGCGGCAGCATGGGCGGAGTCCGAGGTGCCGAAGCGGCGAAAGCGCGACCAGAGGCGACCGACGCTCTGGCTGAAGTCCACGTGCACGCGGCGATCATCTATCAGCACCCCGTCCATCTGCTCTCCGCGGAGTCCGTGGGGGCAGTGGGCGTGTGGCGGAGAGGAGCAAGGCACGGAGTGGGGGAAAAAAGGGTATGGGTGGGGGCTTTGATCGCTTCCGCTGGGTTGACCATAAGACGTTTGTTGCTGGTAAAGATGGTGGAGAGCACAATTGCAATCATCAGGTTGCAATGGGCAAGTGTGATGAACACGGAGCAATGAGCACGGAGCAATGAGCAAGGAGCAATGAGCAAGGAGCAATGAGCAAGGAGCAATGAGCAAGGAGCAATGAGCAAGGAGCAACGAGCACGGAGCAATGAGGAAGGAGCAATGAGCACGGAGCAATGAGCACGGATCAATGAGCAAGGAGCAATGAGCAATGAGCAAGGAGCAATGAGCACGGAGCAATGAGCACAGAGCAATGAGCACGGAGCAATGAGCACGGAGCAATGAGCACGGAGCAATGAGCACGGAGCAATGAGCACGGAGCAATGAGCACGGATCAATGAGCAAGGAGCAATGAGCAAGGAGCAATGAGCAAGGAGCAATGAGCACGGAGCAATGAGCACGGAGCAATGAGCAAGGAGCAATGAGCAAGGAGCAATGAGCACGGAGCAATAAGCAGGGAGTGGCGGTGCATTCACCTTAAAGTAAGCCGCCTCACACGCCTCCTTTGTCTCAAACTCTGCATGCACGCAGGGAGGACACGGAGGGCGAGGGGGAGGGAGGCAAAGAACGGAGGGGGGAAATAAAAAAAGAGGGGAAGAGGGGAAGGAAAAGAAGGGAAGAGAAGAGGTAACAATGGGGCAGAAGTGGAGAAGGGGGAGGGAAGGGAGAGGAAGGAGGGGTTTTGAAGGGAGAGAAGAAAGGAGAGGGGGGGAGGGAGAGATGAAGTGGCACCAATAGCAAGGCACGGCCTAATCGCCGATGGCAAGGCACTGCCTCATCGCCGGTCTATATACAACAGCATCGCCATCATACCCCATCAGCCCCATCAGCCATCATCCCGCCCCATCACCACCACCCCATCACCACCCCATCACCACCCCATCACCACCCCATCACCACCCCATCACCAACGCATCACCACACCCCATCACCAACGCATCACCACATCCCATCACCACCCCATTGTCAGAACTTGAGCTTAGAATCGATACTATAGTAGTGAGCTCAAAGCTCTTTAAGTACATCCGGAATGAGCAAGGTAGGGATGAGGAGGGAATCAGGAGGCAATCCTAGGGAATCAAGGGTAATCCCAAGGCAATCTCCAATTGGTGGGTTGGAGATTGCTTGGAGATTACATTTGGGTTTGGTTGGGATGTGGGTGTACACCCAACCAAACACAAAGTGCAAACTACACTAAACTAGGATATAAAAGTACAAGTACAAAATGTGAGATTGGGGCCTAACACCAACACCCCCCCTGAGGCGTCAATCGAACTCATGGCGGAGAAGGAGGAGCGCAGAGCCCCATGGCGCCAAGGAGACGATGGTGGGGAACCTTCCCAAGGGGCTTGGTGAACAGGTCAGCCAGGTTGCAGTCAGATGCCACGTATTCCACCTTCAGCTGCTCTTGTTGCACAAGGTGACGAATGAAGAAGTGCCGAAGTTCAATATGCTTGGTGCGGGTGTGATACACAGGGTCTTGAGAGATGTGGATGGTACTCTGGTTGTCACACCAGAGGGTGGGGGCTGACTGAGGGAAGCCAAGCTCTTGGAGTAGGAAGGTGAACCAACGGGCCTCCTGAGCAGCCATGGTGCCTGCGTAGAGCTCCGCCTCACAGGAGGAGAGGGAGACTGCAGACGACCTGGTGGAGCGCCAACTGACAGTTCCGCTCCCGAGGGTGAAGCAGTACCCCTGAGAGGAGCGCCGGTCGGTCTGGTCATCAGCCCAGGAGGAGTCTGTGTAACCTTCCAGGCGAGGAGGGGAGAGCCCACCGAGTGTGAGAACGTGGGACTTTGTGCCCTTAAGATAGCGCAGCACCCGCTTTGCTGCCTTCCAATGAAGATTAGTGAAGCGACCCGGGGCCACGTAACGAGAGAGAACACTGACTGGGTAGGCCAAGTCCGGTCGGGTGCACATCATGGCGTACATGAGGGACCCAACAAGTTCCGGGTATGGCTCAGAGCAGGCCTTTGGTGTGGGTACAGCAGGAGCTGTAAGGAGGTGTTGCAGCGGCAGCGGGGTGGCAACAGGTGTGCACAGCTCCATCTCAAACCGCTTGAGCACATTGTCGATGTAGAACTCCTGGGAGAGTGAGATGGTGCGAGCCTTGCGATCACGAGTGATCTCCATTCCCAGGTAGTGCTTGAGGTCACCAAGGTCTTTCATCTGGAGGGCCTTGCTCAGGGCTGCCTGGACAGAGGTCATTTGGGCCGAGTCCTTGGCAACGAGGATAAAATCATCCACGTAGACTAGGATGTAGAATGGCTCAGAATGACGACGGATGAAGAGAGTCGGGTCAGCAGTTGAGGGGTGGAAGTCCAGGGAGAGGAGGACTTCTTTCACCTTGTTGTGCCATTCGCGAGGGGCTTGTTTAAGGCCGTAGACGGGGCGATTCAGCTTCCAGACTGTGTTGGGAGGGAATTCTCCTGGGAAGCCTTCTGGTCTGTCCATGAACACTGTCTCCTTGAGACGTCCTTGTAGGAAAGCGGAGGAGGCATCCATGGATTTGATCTCAAAGTCTTCTCGAGCTGCAACATCCATGAGCGTTCGAATGGTGGGAGGTTTGGATGTGGGGGAGAAGATTAGGTCGAAGTCGCGGTACCGCTCCTGGGTGAAGCCCTTGGCTACGTAACGCGCTTTGAACACCGGTGCCTCGTCTGGGAGCTGTTTTACACGGAACAACCACTTGCCCCCGACGATGTTGACTCCTGGAGGTGGAGTCTCGTCATCGAAAGAGTGGTTGCGAGTGAATGCTGCAATCTCCGCGTCCATGGCAGCACGCCATTCGGCAGCATGAGGGCCTGAGAGAGCCTCTTGGACGGTGAGAGGGATAGGGATGGTCGGGTTCTCCGCGAGGTTGAGGGAGGGTGAGCCAGTGATATCGGGGAAGATGTGTGAGAGCTGAGGAATGACTGCATGGAGATCACACAGCTCCTCATGCCTGTCTTCTAGAAGGGTAGAGGGCACATCCCCCCCAGCAGGAGGAGGCGGTGTGATCATTGTGTATCGAAGAACCATTGCGAGTGGAAGAGCAGCGCGATGGGAGCGGGTGCCATGAGCCACCGGTGAGGAGGGCGGGGCAGGCGGTGTCGGAGAGGGTGACTTAGGAGGCTTGGGTGGGGGAATGGGCCGCCGGCGGTACGTGATCAGCTCGGGCGACTGTGGGAGAGCGGGTTCCTCTGTGGTGGGGGGAACTGGGGGAGGAGGTGGGGCCGGAGGGTGGGACCGCCGATGGTAGGTGATAGGTGCGCTCGGAGGGGGCGGCGCAGCGGGAAGTGAGGAAGGTGAGGGGGGGGGCGGAGCAGCCGCCGAAGACACCGGTGAGGCCGGGTCAGAGACCTCAGAGGGAGATGGTGGGATGGCAGGAGAGGGAGGAGGTGAGGGGGCAGGAGCAGGCGGGAGGTCGGGAGGCGCGTCAAAGTCTGCCCACACGAGGGAGGGTGGATCAGGGAGAGGGTCCCGTCCCGAAGGGGAGTAGAATGGGCGGGTCTCATCAAAGACAACGTCGCGGCTCCTGACCAACTGTTGAGTGGAGGGATTGAGGAAGAGGTAGTCAGGTGAGTCGGCGTTGTGCCCAAGGTAGATGCACGTTTGAGTCTTGGGACCGAGCTTGCCACCGTTCTGGCGTCGAGCCTGAGGGTTGAGGAGGACATAGGCGGTGCATCCCCAAACGCGAAGAGAGCGAGCAGTGGGCGTTTTCCCGAGCCAGAGTGTGGTTGGAGTGGTGTCGGGAAGGTGCGGATGGGGGTAAAGGTTGTAGAGGAGGGCGGCGTGGTAGAGAGCGTATCCCCAGAGAGAGTGTGGAGCGTTGGAGTGGCTGAGGAGGCACCGAGTGATCTGCACTAGAGTGTGGTTGCGGCTCTCAGCTATGCCGTTCTGTTGAGGGCTGTCAGGGAGGGTGAAGTTTTGCTGGATGCCTTCGGAGGAGCAGAAGGCTTTAAGCTTGTCGTTGCAAAATTCACCCCCCCCATCCGAGTGAAGGCGCTTGACCTTGAGGTCAAAGGTGGTCTGTGCCTGCTTGACCCACGCCATGATGACCTCTGGAGCCTCAGCCTTAGTGTGGAGGAGGTGAACAGAGACGTATCGTGAGTGGTCATCCACGATAACTAGGAAGTAGCGATATCCACCTCGTGCAAGAACAGGGGCAGGGCCCCAGACGTCCATGTGCACTAGGTCCAGTGGTGCCGCTGCGATTGTGGGTGAGGCAGTGTGGGGCTGTTGGCGCAGTTTGCTCTTGGTGCAATCAAGGCACGTGGGAGCGGGTGAGTCAGGTGGTGGAGGAAGTGTGGCTGGCAGGCCGAGAAGAAGTTTCTTGGAGGCCATGTCAGCAAGCGTGCGGAAGTTTGGGTGCCCTAACCGATGATGATAGAGGATGGTCGGGTTGGAGAGGCTGCGACATGTGCATGGTGTGATGGGAGCCTGTGCTTGGGTGGTTGAAACCTGTGGGAGAGGAACGCGTAGCGTGTAGAGGCCGCTGCTATTGAGGGTGAAGCGGGCCAAGACCTTGTTGGTGAGTGGGTCAATGATGTCGCAGTGGTCCTCATTCTCCGAGAAGATGGTGCGTAGCCCTGCTTTCTGAATTTCTGTTTGAGCCACTAGATTGTGGCGTAGTGAAGGCACGCACATGCCAGTGACGGTGCCGGAAGGGAAGGCTGGGCATGGGACTGTGGAGGTGCCCTTGGCTAGGGTGGTGAAGCTGGAGTCAGCTCCCAAGAGAGGGATAGGTGCTGGATAGGGTTTGAAGGAGAGTGTCTCCTTGAGCACAGTGTGAGTGGCCCCACTGTCGAGTGTGAACTCTATGTACTGTGGTGCCTGTGATGAGTCGATGTACTGGGAAGTGGCTTCATTAATCATGGCAGTGCCAGGAAACAACAGGTTGATACGCACATCAACAGGAGCACTGTCACTAGCACTAGCCGAAGAGGGGTCCTGGACCTCAACGAGATTGGCCTTACGAGCGCGCATCCAGTTTGGCGGCTTCTTGTCAACCCCGTGGATGGCATACCACTCGTCGTCTTTCTTCTTGAAGCACGTGGCAAGGGGGTGGTTAGTGCCACCACACACTTGTCCCTTGCGGTTGCCATACTTGACGACGTAGGTGCACGGAGGAAAGCGGTTGCGCTGGAAAGGCGCCGAGGCAAGGGCTGCTGCAACACTTGCTAGGGGCATGGGAGCACGGATGGCGTATGCCTTGGCCTGAGCAGTGGAGTCTTTCTCGGCAGAGAGGAGTGCGGTGGAGACCTTAGCAAAGGTGAGGTCTTCCGCTGAGAGCGTGAGGAGCATCTTCCTCGTCACTTCATATGCCGAGGAGAGACCAACAAGAAGGGCGGCTGCAGGGGCTTGTTCGGGGAAGACTATACCCAGCTCCTTGAGTTCACCATGAATGGTCTGCACCTTGGCGATGTAATCAGCCATTCCTGAGCAGTCCTCAAGGCGGACTTGAAACATGCTGGGGATGAGAATCGCCACTCCGACCGCCGTCTTGTTCATGAACCGATCCTGGAGATACTTCCAGATGGCGTTGGAGGTAGGGTAGTTGTGGAACGTGTTGACAAGTTCGGGAGGGGTGGAGGCAATGAAGACGCTGATGATGGCAGCATCGGCCTTCTCCCACTTCCGGTACTTCTCAACAGCTTCTTCGTACGTCATCACGTCAGCATCACTTGAAGATTCGGTCGGTTCACGGGGAAGAGTGGGCTGTTTCCCCTTGCCACGGTTGAGGAGGACGTCCTTGAGGTCAAGGCCCTGCACGTCACGGCTCAGGAGGTGCTTGTCAACTCCGTAGCTCCACGCCTTGAAGTTGGAGCTAGAGCCATCGGCTTCAAGGCGGAGCGGGGTGATGGGGTTCGCCATGGTGGAAGACGAGAAAGCCATGGTGGAGACCCCTTAACTTCTCGCGCGGAGCGCCGCTCTTAAGTCACCAATAGGAACTTGAGGTTTGGGGTTTCCAAAGGAGATTTTGAAGAACCGGAGGTTTAGGGTTTACGAAGGAGAATTTGACTGAGACGCCAATTTAGTGTCAACTACCTACTAGTCCTATTCCCACACACCCCCCCACACACCACCCTCAGCTTCGCGGCTACGCTGCTGCTCGGCTGCGTTGCTGCACCTGTTCAGCTGCGGGAAAGAGGGGGGATGGGGGTAGGAGTGCAGATGCGGGGCGACGGGCGGCACCCTGAAGATGACGCTGCGGGGCGACGGGCGGCGGCCCGACGAGAAGCTGCAGGGCGACGGGCGGCAGCCCGTCGAGGAGAAGAAGTGACGAATTGATGAAAACGAGTGTTAGGTTAGAGCGCCGACGATGCGCTTACCAGAGAAGTTTCCGTCGATGGTGACGGGAAGATTTGGCGGGAGAAATTCCGCCGATGACTGTCGCGAATCAACGGCGACGAGATTGGCGATGGCTTCCCCGAGGTTTGCGGGACAAGTATCCGCAGAGATGAGAGGATCACGATCCGCGTATGCGGTTGAGCTGCTCTGATTACCATGTCAGAACTTGAGCTTAGAATCGATACTATAGTAGTGAGCTCAAAGCTCTTTAAGTACATCCGAAATGAGCAAGGTAGGGATGAGGAGGGAATCAGGAGGCAATCCTAGGGAATCAAGGGTAATCCCAAGGCAATCTCCAATTGGTGGGTTGGAGATTGCTTGGAGATTACATTTGGGTTTGGTTGGGATGTGGGTGTACACCCAACCAAACACAAAGTGCAAACTACACTAAACTAGGATATAAAAGTACAAGTACAAAATGTGAGATTGGGGCCTAACACCAACACCCATCACCACCCCATCACCACACCCCATCACCACCCCATCACTATGCCCCGCACCAATGAAGCCGTAGCAGAGGCTGTCGCCCGTCTTCTGGTCTCGAATGATGTCCGCCCTGCACGGTGCAGTGCCATGTGGGGGGGTGGGATGTGATAATGAGGGGTGGGCAGGCATAGCGGCGATGCACAATGGAGCAGTGGTGAATGGGATGCTCTGGCAGTGCAGCGCAATGCATGAGTGTCCCGACGTCACATGGGTTGCAGCAGCACAAGTTGTTTAACAACCCAACAACGCTGGGAAAACCAGCAGGCGAGGTGTCGAATTGAAGCAATGGCATGAAAGAGCAGAGGAGTGGAAGGAAGGGGAGGAACTCACGAGAGGACCTTGCCGAATCGAGAGAAGATGATCTCCAAGTCGTCGTCCTGCGCCCATGCACCACATTGATTACACCCATGCATACATGCGATGCCATACATGCGATGCCATGCATGTGATGCCATGCATGTGATGCCATGCATGTGATGCCATGCATGTGATGCCATGCATGTGATGCCATGCATGTGATGCCATGCATGTGATGCCATGCATGTGATGCCATGCATGTGATGCCATGCATGTGATGCCATGCATGTGATGCCATGCATATGGCATACATCACAGCACATGTGCAAATGTGAAGCAAGTGAAAAGAGTGAGAGAGAAGAGAGAGAAGACATTACAGAACATGCCAGAAAGGAGTGACCTGAGTGACGGGTGGGCGACCTGAGTGACGGGTGGGCGACCTGAGTGACGGGTGAGAGTGAATTGTCAGTAGTGACTGGAACACACCTGAGTGACGGGTGAGAGTGAATTGTCAGTAGTGACTGGAACACACCTGAGTGACGGGTGAGAGTGAATTGTCAGTAGTGACTGGAACACACCTGGGTGACGGGTGAGAGTGAATTGTCAGTAGTGACTGGAACACACCTGAGTGACGGGTGAGAGTGAATTGTCAGTAGTGACTGGAACACACCTGAGTGACGGGTGAGAGTGAATTGTCAGTAGTGACTGGAACACACCTGGGTGACGGGTGAGAGTGAATTGTCAGTAGTGACTGGAACACACCTGGGTGACGGGTGAGAGTGAATTGTCAGTAGTGACTGGAACACACCTGGGTGACGGGTGAGAGTGAATTGTCAGTAGTGACTGGAACACACCTGGGTGACGGGGTTGAGCTTGCAGATGAAGAGCACATTCTCGGGCGGCTTGAACTCCGCCTCGGGCAGATCGCCTATCTGGTGGGGTGAGGCGAGACGACCACCGCAGGGCAAAGGTAGGGATGGCGTGAGCCTAGTGAGGGACAGAAGCCACCTCGCATTCCACCACATCCCCCACTCTCTCACCATCTCAGCACCACTCTACCATCTCAGCACCACTCTACCATCTCAGCACCACTCTACCATCTCAGCACCACTCTACCATCTCAGCACCACTCTACCATCGCAGCACCACTCTAACCATCGCAGCACCACTCTAACCATCTCAGCACCACTTGTGACAAATCTTGAAGATGAAACGATGGTTTGATAGGAGATGTGTGGGTTTACACAGTTGAGCTAGGATGGACGTTTGGTTGAGAACCTTGCCAACGTGATTGGCCACCACCAATAAGTTGGGTTGAGGAGTTATTGGGGGAACCAATAATGTTCACCAAAGTGGGTCAACATTATTTGGAGGGCCAATAATCTCCCAACCCAGCATTGGGGCCCCAAAAAATTGGGCCAAGGTTGGGTTCCAACCCCAAACTATGGTTAACCCTAGTTGTACACCCAAACTATATTTGGGTGTCTATCTCTAACCTAAGCTGATGAGATAGATGCAGGTTACAATGAAGATGATAATCTGACACCACTCTCACCATTTCAGCACCACTCTCAACCGCTCTCACCATCTCCAGCACCACGCCTCTGGACTGTGCCTCTCTGCGGCGCACGTCGCGCTCCACCTCGTCCGCCGCCCGCCCCTCGTCCATGGGCACCCAGTCGTCCTCCAGCCGCACGTCCTCGCCCTGCCCGCCGCACGCACGGGAAAATTGGGAGTTGGTGGAGGGTGCAGCATACGGGGGGGAACAAAAGCAGCACACGAATAAGTTGGTCGGCCATGGGCACCCAGTCGCCCTCCAAACTCACGCCCAAGCCCTGCACAACGCACCCACGGGCCCTGGCAGGCAGGGGTGGGAGGAAGCACGGAATTGGGTAGCAGCACAGAAGCAGGAAGTGCGAAGGAGCGGGTGGTAAGGACGGAGTGTACAATGGGGAGTCGTGATGCGGTGCGGAGAAGATAGGGAAGGAAAGCAGCACACAAGTGAGGGTGGCTGAGAAGTGCCAGATACAAGGTCCAGATACAAGGTCCAGATACAAGGTCCAGATACAAGGTCCAGATACAAGGTCCAGATACAAGGTCCAGATACAAGGTCCAGATACAAGGTCCAGATACAAGGTCCAGCGCATTGACATTTTGGAATGGACTGACGTCAGCAAAGTGAAAATAGCGGCACAAGTGGTTTCAGCAGAGCATTCACAACAGATGGCGCAGCAGGCAAGTGACATGAGCAGGTGAACAGGCAGCTTACAACACCCGGAGGTAGTGGGGGAAGGCGGAGGAAGGGAGGGCTCACAGCAGCGGGGGGCGGCATGGGTGGGGAGGCATCGGGGATGAGGTCAGCGAGTCCGGGTGGGTCGTCAAATGGGTCGTCCAACACGTGCACTCGGCGTATGCTGGTGGGGGAGGAGGCGGGGGAGAGGCGGCAATTGGGGACCTGATGACTCATGAGTTGTCACGAAGCACAGAGGCGCAGCACAGACGACCAGCTGTGTGCATGGTAGCGCCCTGTAACCATCAGCTGTGTGCATGGTAGCGCCCTGTAACCATCAGCTGTGTGCATGGTAGCGCCCTGTAACCATCAGCTGTGTGCATGGTAGCGCCCCATAACCATCAGCTGTGTGCATGGTAGCGCCCTGTAACCATCAGCTGTGTGCATGGTAGCGCCCTGTAACCATCAGCTGTGTGCATGGTAGCGCCCTGTAACCATCAGCTGTGTGCATGGTAGCGCCCTGTAACCATCAGCTGTGTGCATGGTAGCGCCCTGTAACCATCAGCTGTGTGCATGGTAGCGCCCTGTAACCATCAGCTGTGTGCATGCTAGCAGCCCTGCAACGGCCATCAGCGGGATTCCCAGAGAAACTGGCGCGTACCGGATGTTCTTGAAGGGGCGTACCGGATGTTCTTGAAGGGGCGTACCGGATGTTCTTGAAGGGGCGTACCGGATGTTCTTGAAGGGGCGGCCTTTGTCGTCCACAAATGCCTCGTTGATGCGCTGCAGCGTGTCCAACCCCTCCGCCACCTCGCCAAATATCTGATGCCATACCGTGCCGTGCCATGTCGTGCCGTGCCGTGCCATGCCATGCCATACCGTGCCGTGCCGTGCCATGCCATGCCGTGCCGTGCCGTGCGTGCCATGCCGTGCCGTGCCATGCACATGAGAGATGAAGAAGTTATGCAAGAGTGCAGTGAGATGCGGCGTGGCAGAGCCACATAAGCATGCCGTACCATGCCTGCCATGCAGAGAGACCATGCATGTGGTGCCATGCAGGTGCAACGAGTGCTGGGCAGCGAGGAGAAAAAAACATAAATAATCCTGATAATCAGATGAGAGTGAGCAAGTGAGTGTCAGCATATGCTGGCGTCATGGTCTCACCGTGTGCTTGCCATCGAGTGAGTCCAGCCCAGCCCGCGTGGTGATGTAGAACTGGGCGGTAGGGGATGCCAGCAGGGGACGCCAAAAGGGGAGGGAGAAAAGAGGGCGGAGAGCGGAAGGAGGGTGGGAGAGGAGGGCATGGAAAATGCAAGAATGAATCATAATGAGTCGAGATGAGATCTCACTAATCCTGTGTGCAGGCCCAGCATGTGGGAAACGGGGCTGGGGGCAAACACGAGAAATAAGAAGAAAGCATGTGGGCCCAGCATGGATTTAGCCTGCGAGAGGTTGATTTGCAGGGAGAACCTTGGATTGGATTCTGAGCCTTGGATTCTGAGCCTTGGATTCTGAGCCTCTTTGCACTGATATGTAGCGGTGGGTTAAGCAACGTGCCTATGAGCGTGCGTGTGCATAGGAGGGGTGTAAGAAGTGCTGGATGGTGGCAAGTGGAGGCCAACGGAGACTACCAGGCCTGCAGAATTCAGTAGGGAAAAATGATAACACGCCTGAGAGGCGATGAGGGTCACCTGAGAGGCGTTGAGGGTCACCTGAGAGGCGTTGAGGGTCACCTGAGAGGCGTTGAGGGTCACCTGAGAGGCGTTGAGGGTCACCTGAGAGGCGTTGAGGGTCACCTGAGAGGCGTTGAGGTTGCTGTCTCCGCTGGCCATGGCGACCACCCCCACCTTGTCGTGCTTCAGCCCCGCCCGGATCTCATCCTCAAAGAACCGCGCCTGCTCTCCGTACAGGAACCTGCCATTCGGGTGGGGAGAGGGGGGGGGGGGGTGGGTGGGGGGGGAGGAGTTGGGGATAGGGGTTTGGGCACGGACCGCAGCAGGGAGGGGAGTGGGTGTGTGGTGTGGCACGACAACCGGCTGTGGTGCAGCAACCTCACCAACCCATGCCCCTCACACCACACTTGAGCATGGTACTCAACTCCGGTCATTTTTGTGAATGGGTTGGGTTAAACTGATTGCGTCAGTCTGACTTCACATGCCGTGTCTGGCCGCCATCAAACATTGGCCCATTTGACGCGCGTTAGGTAGCGTAGCGCCCCACACACCCCTCGCCCCACACACCCATCGCCACCCCTCGCCCCTCACACCTCTCGCCCCTCACACACCCGTCGCCCCACACACCCCGTGCCCCCCCACGCACTTGTAAACGGAGTCACCACCAGCGCCAGTGGCGGTGGGGTCGCCCGTCTGCACGATGAAGTCGCGCTGCACGCGGTGGAAGACGCAGTGGTGGTAGTACTTCATCCTGGGGGGGGGGGAGGAGGATGGGCATAGGCATGCCGCGGCGTGACAGCAGAGGTTCTGGAGGGATAGTTGCGAGGGCAGGGGCGGGAGGGAGGTTGCAAGAGCCGTAGCAAAGAATTCGAGGCACTTCATCCATTTCGCGCGTCATTGAACGGTGAAGGTATGTGAGGGGCGACGCGAGAAGGGCGGGGGGGAGGGGAGGTGCTTTGGGTTGGCAGGGGGAGGGCGCGAGCGCGACTGACTTGGCGAGTTTGAGGAAGTTCTTAGTGGCGAGCGGGCAGAGGTCCGTGTGCAGGTCGATCACCATCTCGCCCACACTAGTCTCCACCAGCACCGCCATCCGCCCCCTCCGCCCCCTCCGCTACCTGCTGCTCTCTTCCAGTCGGCGAAACAGGCCTGCGGGAGGCGCGGCGCGGCAGCAAGAGAGAGAGAGTCAGCAGACGAGGAGAGTGCTGACCCTTCGTGTCAGCTTCAGGCGCTCACACTGAGAGCGCGCAGAGAGAGCGCGGAGGGAGAGCGCGGAGGGAGAGCGCGGAGGGAGAGCGCGGAGGGAGAGCGCGGAGGGAGAGCGCGGAGGGAGAGCGCGATCAGTGGGGAAAGTGGAGTGGCGAGCGAATAGTTTCCCGTAGCCACCGCTTCACTCTAGACCATCTATCCACGGGCCTTACTGACTCAAGCGGTGGGAGGTTGAGCGAGAGCGGACGGGGATTGGTGGGACGCGATGCAGCGCGTGAGGCGGCCGACGCGCGGAGAAGATCGGGGCGGCGAGGAGCGCGTGCGGTGGGTGGGTGCGAGGGATGGAGGTGTGAGGTTGGGCGGCAGGCAGATGGCAATCGAATGAGCATGAGGGATGGGAAGGCCTGTGTGGAAATTAGGGCAAAGAAATGTGTTGGGGCAGGGGACCTCGCGAAAAAGAACGTGTTGGGCAGGGGACCTCGCGAAAAAGAACGTGTTGGGGCAGGGGACCTCGCGAAAACGATAGCGAAGGTGTACCATGTGATTCTTCTGCTCGACTAGTTCAAACCACTTCGCCAACCAAAATTTGCCTCGGGTTACTCCATTTCGTTGATACTCCGCCGTGCCCACATCACATTTCGTTCCAACACCCCAGCACAGCCACTACCGCCCAGTCGACTTCCGCATGGCCTCTCTCTCTCTCGCACCGCCGCTTCGCGCCTTCCATTCCGCCCCCTGCGCTGCACCGCTGTGCGCCACGCGGCCCTTGCAGCCTCGACCATTTCTTCGTCGCCAGTCGCAGCTTGTCGTACGCGCGTCGCATGGCGAACGACCCGCAGACGCGGCAAGCGACAGTCCGCCAGGCGAGTCGCAGCAGCGCGCCTTCGCCGCCGCCGGCACGGCCGCTCTGATTGGCGGCGACCCGCAGGCCGCCGCCGATGCTGCAGCCGCAGCCGCCCGTGAGGGTGACTCGGCGGACCCCGCCACTGGCGGCGCGCGCGTGCCCGGCGGCGATGGTGTCTCCGCGGGTCTCGCGCTCATCCTCTCCCACCAGCGGCGGTGGACGTGGCGCGGCGCCAGCATCAACTACTGCGACATTCCGCCCCGCGCCGGCGGCGAGGGCGCGGAGGAGAGCGGCGAGGAGGGGTGGCGGGGGAGAGAGGACGCGCCCGCCGTGGTGTTGGTGCACGGCTTCGGCGCTTCCATCGGCCACTGGCGCAGGTGAGGGGCACTGGCGCAGGTGAGGGCCACAGGCGCAGGTGAGGGGCACTGGCGCAGGTGAGGGGCACTGGCGCAGGTGAGGGGCACTGGCGCAGGTGAGGGGCACTGGCGCAGGTGAGGGGCACTAGCGCAGGTGAGGGGCACTGGCGCAGGTGAGGGGCACTGGCGCAGGTGAGGGGCACTGGCGCAGGTGAAGGGCACTGGCGCAGGTGAGGGGCACTGGCGCAGGTGAGGGGCACTGGCGCAGGTGAGGGGCACTGGCGCAGGTGAGGGGCACTGGCGCAGGTGAGGGCCACTGGCGCAGGTGAGGGGCACTGGCGCAGGTGAGGGGCACTGGCGCAGGTGAGGGCCACTGGCGCAGGTGAGGGGCACTGGCGCAGGTGAGGGGCACTGGCGCAGGTGAGGGGCACTGGCGCAGGCTGATGGGTCAAATTCGCCTGATTGTTCTGCTCTCCGCCATGGCTCCTGCTTTAACTTCGGCACGCCCAATGTCTACCAATTTCCAGCCTGATGGCACATTTCTTCGGACCTTAATGTTCAGCTCGACTAGCGCTTTAAGAGGATACCTTTTTTGTGTTCATACAGTGAACATTGGTGAATCTTACCTAGTCGCAGGAACTATCAAGGCTCATGCCTTATCAAGCTTCTCGGCAGTACCATGGCGCCTTGGTTTCACAGAGCCTGAAGTGGATTGGTTACTGGATCCTGATCCGCCAGATTTGCGGTTTTTGTTATCCTGTTCCTCGAGACCGTCAACAACCCTCGGACTTGGCTCAACTACACAAGGCTCAGGCATTGCACTCGTTCGGGAAGCAACAAGTTATATAAGCAAAGGCAGCAACAAGGGTGTTCACATATTCGTGCTCAGAGGAGGTTTCTTATTAAGCTTCTGTTCAAGCCTGTCCCTCCGTTATCGTCATTGCACAATGGCGGGAGGTCGACGCAACGGACGGGGTGGCGGAAAGATTGGAGGAAAAGTTATTGATACTGCTGGCAACACCCCTTTGACCAGCGCGGATCACTCTCCGGAGACGAGTCCTCTATTGTTGACGCAAGCTTCACCCCAAGCTCCCCTCACGACGGCGGTTAACGATGTGCTGGGAGAGGTGGCGAAAATCTCCCTGCAAGAGCGGTTGTCTGCTTTGAAGGACAACGAGCTTAAGGACAATAAGGAGGGTAATGAGACGCAGCAACCGCAACCGACCTCGTCAGCTGGCGGATCGCCGAATCCTGTGACAATGGCACCTGCGGCGACGGCAGAAGGTTGCAGCAAATACGTGGATGAGGATGAGTGCTGGGACAGTGACGACGAGGACGACTTCGACCCAACTGCGGTCAGCCTGCTCGCGTCCCAAGTCAGCTTCCCACTTACGCTTCTGATCCCTATTCAGTGGGAGAGCGAGGTCCCGAAGTTGAAGCCTACGGTCATTGCGCACCTGGATCACTGGAAGGCTTCGCTGACGGTCGACGCGCAGACGACCACGAAGTATCAAGAGATGCTGCCGCTGTGGCTGTCAAAGAAGCGATACGGTCGGCTTCAAGTTACCTTTCAGCACGCGAGTGATGCGGCTTCGGTCTGGCGGCGCTCCATCGAGCACGATGTGGGGAAGGGGGTTACTCTGACGCTTAACTGGCAGCACCCGGAGAACGCGACTTACAGGAAGGAGCGTCAGCAGAACCCAGATGCGGTGGAAGTGCTGTTGAAGTATGTTCCGGCTGGCGTCTCTCCAGAGCTGGTCCGTAAGATGCTGACGGAGGTTGTGCTGCTCAAGAAAGGCAAACCTGCGTTCAGCAAAGGCGTGGGCTTCCACAGAGTGCAGGACCCAGTTACCGGTATTGACACTGGCAAAATACGTGGTCTGTTGATCGAGCATGAGAATGACGTCGACCCATGGCGTCATGCGGTTGCTGATCTGTCAAACCCCGGAAGGAAGCTGATGGTTCATTATCCTGTACTCACCTGCGGTTACCGCAAGGGTCTGCATCTGACGTAGTATCACAACGCTTATGTCACGGAGCGTCAATCCAGCATCGGCAAATGGACCTTGTCTGTCGCAAAGGTTCATGCGATCAACGGTATCAGTGTCTCGCTTTTCTCACCTTTGCCGCTCCTGTCTTTTCCTTCGAAATCTACTGACGTCCCGGCTCAAACCCCTCCTCGCAACTGCATCGCTGAAAGTCATAGCATTAACAAAAGACATTCTCAAGGACCCGGCTATCGTTCTCACCTCCACAGGGGGGTCGCGGGAGGACTGGGTGTGTGTGGTCGCTGCTTGCGACAAAGCGCAGGGTGCCAGCTTCGAGCAGGCATTGGCTCACGTCGCATCACTCCGTCACAAGACGAACCTGACGAAGCCGGGTGCTGCTACCCGCGCCAGCAAAGGTGCTCTCAACCTGGGAGCGTTCCGCAAGGAGTTGGCCAAGTAACCGCCTGGATGCCGCTGTCCCGAGAGTACACATCTGCAGGAGTACAGAGGAGGAGGATGGCAGTTCAGTTTTCGCTTCAGTTTCAGTCGTGGTAGCAGTAGTGGCAGTTTCAATGTTGTGCAATTCTATGGTGCGGCCGGTGACAGCGGCGCGCGTGTATCAGGAGATTTGTATCAGTTCCCAGCCCGTAGATGCGAAGGGGCTTCTCACCTGTTTTTAGATGAATAAGAAGAACTCGATCAGGTTCTGCGAGCTCAACATCAATGGGCTCGGCAGTGCAGGGAAGCAGGAAAAGTGCAAAGACTGGCAAAGGAACAAAGTGGATGTCGCGATACTTACAGACACGCGCATTCAGGCTGACCAGAACTTCTGGACTCAATTGAAGCCGTCCGCGGTGGTGGCCGTGGGGCCAGCTGGGCCGGCAGGAGGAGTAGCTGTGGTGAGCTTTGTGCCTGGGATGAGCTTCACGCACACGTACACACACGCATCAGGAAGATTGGTGGGGGTGGTGGTCCGTTGGGAAGATCTAGAGCTGCTCCTTGTTGCGTTGTACTCGCCGGCGCAACTGGAGATCAGGGCCCCTTTCTACAAGGACTGCCTGGGGCCTTTCCTGGGCACCTTACCAAAAATGATGAACGTCATGGTGATGGGAGACATGAACGTGGTGGAGGACCCGGCGCTAGACAAGTCAACAGGTGTGGGGTCGTCGGCGGAAAACCGGAGGTTGATGAGCTACTGGGCGAACTCCCCGCTCACTGATGCGTTCCGTTTTATGCACCCTGGCAAGAGGGAGTACACTTTCCACATGAGGGCAAAGGGTGTGAGCACCAGGATTGACCGCGCGCTAGTGTCACAATCGTTGCTGTGCAAGCAGGTGGATGTGCGGCACGCGGACATTACAAACAAGATGACGGATCATTGGAGTGCGGTGGTGGTCGCGCTGGAGTCGTCGGCGGCGGTCGAGAGTGGTCCCGGAATCTGGCAGCTAAGGGCGGTACGGGCAAAAAAGAGAGGGGTCAGGAGCCGGGTGGAGAAGGTGATCAAGGACGCGGGTGGTAACCTTGGGGTGATGTTACCAAGGCTGTCGGCGTGTCTGCGGGCGTACACAAGGGAGGAAAGGAAGAGAATCGGGGCAACCAAGAAACACCTGGAGAAGGAAGTGAGGGTCTTCCCAAGGAGCTGTTCGAGTACAACTGGGACTTGCTTGGGCCGGTGCTGATGCAGTTCATAGAAAACTTCACGCGAACGGCAGAGCTACCACGTCTCAACTGCGGTTACGATTCTGCTGCACAAAAAGGGGAGCAAGGAGGAGTTAGGGAATTACAGGCCTATTACGCTGCTAAGCACGGTTTACAAGGTGTTAGCGAAAGTAATGGTGTCAAGGTTAAAGAAAGTTCTACATGAGGTGATCTCGGAAGATCAAGCGGGCTTTTTACCTGGACGGAGGCTGGCGGATGCCGTTGCGGTGGTAGTGGACGCTATCGAGGCGGGTGCCAATGGCGGCAAGGACTGGTACCTCCTGATGGTTGACTTTCAGAAGGCTTTTGACTCCATCTCAAGGCCTTTCCTCTTCTGAACGCTGCGAGGGATGGGGGTTCCGGAGCAGTTCGTGTCCTGGGCGGAGGGCCTGCACATAGGAGCAGGCACACGGTTGCACATCAACGGGTGGACAGGAGACAGGGTCGCGGTGGAAAGAGGGGTGCGTCAAGGTTGTCCGCTAGCACCGTACCTCTTCTTGTGCGCGGTAGAGCCGCTCTGTCAAGAAATTGCGCAACGAAGGCTGGGGGTGGGAGACGAAGGTGCAGAGAAGCTGGCGTACCTGGGATACGCCGACGACACGTCGCTCTTGCTGCAGGGGGAAGAGCAGCTGGCTGCAGCGGCTGAAGTGCTGGAAAATTTCGGGAAGGCATCAGGGCTGAAGGTGAACAAAGATAAGACGGTGGTCTTTCCACTCGGGGAAAACAGGGGGGAGCCTCCGCCGGCAGACCTGCAATTCAAATGGGCAGACAAGGCGGCACCGGAGAGACTCCGAACGGTGTTTGGATCACTCCGAACGGCGACCCACTCCCGTCCCAGGAGAAGGCTTTGGACAGGGCGCGAAAAGAGTTAGCCAAATGGGAAATTCAGCATTTAACGACGTCAGCAAGGGTCACGATAATCAACGGGTACATATCGCCTATCTTCATGTTTCAGGCGTACATATACCCGCCGCCGGAGGAGATCTGGACAAAAATCAAGCGGATCTATCACCATTTTGTGTCGGAAGGGGAGGCGACGGAGGAAAAGGCCTTCGTCCTCTGGAACTACGAGCTGGTATGCACACCCCTGGAAGAGGGAGGGCTGGGGATGATATGCCCCAAGAAGCGTTTCGACAGCATAGCGGTGCAGAATGTCGGCCGCATGATGCTGCAAACAAACCTCGTTAAGAAGTGGCTGACGGAGCAGGCGGCGGCGATGCCTCTGGGACCGGACACAATCTACGCTCATCAGTCCCTGCTGAGACACTGGAAGGAGGGTAGTAAACGCTGGAAGGATATGACACAAGCTTTCTGGAAGTCACCTTTCTGCGTCACCCCGGAGCCAAGTAATCGCTGGGAGGTGGAGCGGGAGCAGTTGGCGTTTAACAGGCGCATACCTTTCGGGGGTGCTAGTCCGTTCGGAAATAAAAAAGGTTAGACACGGCTACTGGGGTTAACAATGGGCGATCTGATCTGGTACCGAGCGGACGGCACACGGGAGCTAAAAGGTGAGGAAACTCTGGCGAGCGAGCTCAGCAGTGTTGCAGCGGCGAAATTGGCGCTGAAGGCTTTCATGGCGGTGCCGGTCGAATGGAGAGACATGTTGCTGGAAACGTTGACAAGCGAGGGGATAGCGGCTAAGGTTCCGCTACTGCGGTACCAGAGGAGTATCGTTGCGCCCCCTACGCTCTGGAAGGTCAGCGGCGCCGACAGCGGCAGAGTGACGGGGGTGATGTGTCAGGAAAGCGCTGACGGTACCTTCACAGTCGGGGATGAGAAGTACCCAGTAAACTTCGGGCTGCACAGCGGGGAGCCGGTAGCAGCTCACGGAGATAATGTGAGGATCTAGGATCGAGCTCAGAATAAGAGAATGTGAATTGAATGAATTGAATGATCACCTGGGTACAACACGTGGCTATATATAGGCTCGACACAAGGCCCCGTAACCAGGTGTTACGCGAAGGTTCCGCGGGTCGTGAAGCGTCCCGAACAGATCCTTACCGAATTCGGTAGAAGGCAATTCGGTGGCAACCGAAAAGCCCAGAATTCGGTGCACGCAACCTAGCTCCCTGCTATAACTATAATAAAATATAGGAAAGCACCTAGCCTAGGAAATCAAGCAATTCATGCATGCATATAATTATCCTATGCTAGGAATAGCATAATAAAGTAAAAGGCAAGCAAGCATAGCTGGCATAAGCCGTCGTACTCTCACACGTCCCCCCCTCAAAGCTGGATGGCGTGAGATACACCTTGCTTGACAAGATAGTCCTTGAGAGCACGGCGTGCGTTGCCCATATCAGCTTTTGCAACCCAACTGTTCTGAGTGGGGTCGTATCCTTTCGAGCGTAACAGGAACTCGAGGGTCTTGGCGCCGCGGCGCCGATGAGTGAGAACACGCTCCACTTCGTACTCGGGTTCATCCTGTATTAGAACAGGTGGTGGTGGCGGTAGTTGCCGTCCCTGGAACTGTTGGTTGGGGTCCTTGTAGGGCTTCAGTAGCTGGACATGGAAAGCGTTGTGAAGCTTCCATGTATCTTGTATGGGAACTGGTGTCACCTGTGCCTCAACGAGAAAAAGACCACAGAAGCGAGGCCGGAGTTTGGATGGGAGGTGAGACAGGTTCAAGTTGCGCGTGTCAAGAAGCACCTGATCACCGACTGCTACTGAGTGATCGCGCCGCTGACTATCGGCATACTGCTTCTGGGAGGTCTGCATCGTGGTGAGTCGTCGCTGAGTCTTCTCCCATAGCTGCTGCATGGTGGTGACGAAGTCATGTGCGGCTTGGACGTGTGCCGGTGTGGTTGGCTGCTTTGGTGTGAGTGGTTCCTGTCCGTAACACAGGAAGAAAAGAGTTTTTCCTGTGGCCGCATGTGATGCGTTGTTGTAAGCAAACTCTAGGGTCGGTAACTGTGTGTCCTAGTGGCTGACGTCGTCCTTGCAAGCTGTGCGCAGTAACTGTTCAACCACTTGATTGAGTCGCTCTGTCTGTCCGTCAGTGTGTGGGTGGTATGCTGAAGACATTGCAAGCTTTGTCTCCAACAGTCCCATGAGCTCCTTCCAGAACTTACTGGTGAATTTTGGGTCTCTGTCTGAGATGAGTGTAGCGGGGATGCCGTGGATGGTGATGATGCGGTCGAAGAAGAGGCGAGCAGTTGCTTCAGCTGTAGCTGTGGCGTTGGTCGGTATGAAGTGACCCATTTTGGAGAACTTATCGATTACTATGAGGATGGAATCATGTCCCCGTGAGGTTGAAGGAAGTTCTGTGATGAAGTCGATACTAACGACCTGCCATGGCTGCTCCGGTACACGTAGAGGCTGAAATAACCCTGCTTCTTTTTGCTTGCTGCTCTTCATCCGCTGGCACGTGCCGCAAGAGGTGACGAACTGCTGCACGTCTGCTGCCATCCCGGGCCAGTTGTAATATTTTGCTATCCCTGCTAACGTCTTGTTGCTCCCCAAATGTCCCGCGTATGGTACGTCGTGAAACTCCTCCAATAAGATCTGCCGTAGCGGGGCGTAATTCGGTACCCAAATCTTTCCTGATCCCTTTCTTACAGCTAAGTCCTTCCACTATAACAGCTTCTTACTGCTCCGACTGCTTGGTCACTAGCGTCTGCTTCCACCACGTAGTCTCTGTCTGTATCCGGTAGGATGAGTACTGGCGCTGTAGTCAGTGCTGTCTGTTTGTTCAGTGCGCGGTAGTCGATGCACATCCGTAAACTACCGTCTGGCTTTGGAGTGAGGAGAATTGGTGCACCGTAGGGAGAGGTGGATGAGCGGATCAGTTGTTTGTCCAATAGATACTCTATTTGTTTTTTCATGTCTGTCAGATCAGTCGGACTCAGTCGGTATAGTGCACGTAAGACGGGTTTTGCACCTGGTTCTCCACGATCTCGTGCTCGTGGGTGCATGCTGGAGGTACGCCTGCGGGTAGGTCGTCGGGCATTATATCCTTGCAGTGTTCCAAGACCTCCTCCTCTGCTGCTGCCATAACAAGTGCTAAGTAACCCGTGTTACTCTCGTTCACTGTCCGTTCGAACCGTGCCAGTGTCGTTTCAGGAACGCTCCCTGTATCCGTTGTTGTAGATGCACGTTTTCCGGTTGACCCAATCCATCTTTGGGTTGAACCGCTTCAAAAAATCTCGCCCCAAGATGAAATCTAATCCCTTGATGTTCGTGATCCGCAACGTTGGCTTCCACCTCAGCGCGCCTATGTGCAGCTGCAGTGATGCTTCGCCGTGGATGGGAAGTCTCGTACCGTCCACCATTGTTGTTGTAAACTGGGTTTCTTCTGAGGATTCTCCAATTTTCTCCAACGTCCCGCGATCGCACACCGAGTGGGACGCACCACTGTCCACCAGGGCCTGGAGGCGACGCCCGTTGCAGATCACCTTGAGTACTAGTGGTTGCTGCTGCTCCGAGTATCCGTAGATGGTATCGCTTATAGGATCGTAGGGTACGTCGAATATGTTATCCCTCGGTTCTGCGCTCGAAGATGCAGCTTCAGTATCAGTTTTCAACTGAGAAAGGTTAGAAAGATTTATCCGAGGCCGATTCGGCTTCTCTTGGGCCTGGAACCTTCCACTAAGCCTTTGCACCTGTGTAGGCTTCATCTGTGGGGAACAGGGAGCCTTTAAACGGTGCTGCTGGGAGAGAATATTAACTCCTCGGAACGCTCGACCCGTATTAGCGCTCTGGAGTAGGGTCCCCATAATACCCGGTATCGGTTTAATTTCTGACTCTCCCTTAATAAAGGCTTGAAACCCACGAGAAGTAATATTCTTACTTGTCGGGGTATACGGCTGGAGTTTCCCGGTCGGTACAGGGTCTTGTTTCGCGGATCCTCCATTAGTCTCGGCGATTTCCCCTGGTGTCGGCTGGTCGTGACGTTTTAAATTTGCGCCACCATATTCTCCTTTTTTCGCCCTCTCCGAAGTTGCCACGTTGTCCGTTTTCTACTTCGGGGGTGCCGCACTGTTCTTGTCCTTCAGCTCCGTACACCTTTTCTTCATTTTCCAACACGCCAAGATACGATGTCCTGTAGCGCCGCAAAATTTGCACGTCTCATTATTTGCTAGCTGCTGCTCCACATCGCCCTCGTCGTTCTCCATCGGGTCGGCAGTCGTGGGTGGTGCCAATCGCCCCATGCCACTAGTTGGTTTGTTGCGTCGTGTTCCGTAGTAGCTACTGTTCAACGTGTCGAACTGTTCGATCAGTGCTGCCGGAAACTGCGCCCACGTCCCCTCGCCTTGGACTATTCTATTGTTGATCCACTCTAGAGCTGGGCCTTGTAACAGTGTTGCTGCGAGCCGTATGCGCTAGGGATGAGCAAGTGGCGAACACGAACGTGTTCGTGTTCGCCCCTACACGAACACCTTCGTTTGCCGAACCGAACACTGTTCGGTTCGGCGAACACTTTGAGCAAAAAATGGTGTTTGCCGTTCGCCTGTGAAGGCGTGTTCGGGCGAACCTTGAACACTGTTCGTGTTCGTCGCGGGCAAATTGCAGCAGCGGCCCGAACACGAACGTGTTCGGGCGAACATCGAACACTGTTCGGCGAACATTTTAAGCCAAAAAAAAAATACCTGTTCGGTTCGCCTCGAACGTGTTCGAGGCGAACCGAACAGGTGTTCGTGTTTTTGCTCAACCCTAGTATGCGCATTGCGTCTTTTGTCGGGGTCGTGCATCCAACAGCTTCGAAGTAAATTTCGAGTTCAGCTACAAATCGACGAACGTCGTTCCTTTTTACCGTAGGATCGAACGCCTCCGGTAGCCTCGGCTTCACTACTTCGAGGTTAACTGTAGCTGCTGCCGTTGTCGCATGTAGAATTGTCGGTGTTGCCGCTGCTGCTGCTGCTACTGTTGTCGCTGCTGCTGTGGCGGTTGCCAACTGGTTCGCAAGGAGTTTTTTCGAGTCGTGGGAGCGCCGCATGTATTTGCTTATGCTCAGCACGTAACTCCGCGATTTTCTGTACTGAAATATCTCCTTTTCCCTCCATTTGGCGATTTACAGTAAGATGCGCGACGAAAATAATCGTATTCTAGGTGCTGGTCGACTTACTGCGAGTCAAGTTGACCATCGGATCGACAAGCGCCAATTCTGTAGGTCGCGTAAATCTCCCCTTGTCGAAAATCGCGTCCGATCGTGGCCGTTGAGGAGAAAATCAATCCGACGCTCCAAATTCCAACTTTTTTGGGCGAAATTCTCTGGGCCGTTGAGATGAAACTCGATCGAACGGTCGAAACTCCAACCTTTCCACCAGTAAATCTGAGGGGTGTTCGAAAACTGAATCGAGGGGGACTTAGAAAAATTGCGCGGAACTGGTTTTACATACCCGTATCGGCGCTTTCGTCGTCGCCCCCGCGGTTTTTAAAGGCCGGAACTAAGCGGTTGAAGACCTCTCGTGAAAACCCGCTCTGATTACCAAGTGTGAG